ATAATTGTCGATTATTCCCTTGAAATTGTAATTGTGATTATTAATTACGATTATCCCAGTTTACGTTGAATGATGTTTATAACGTTGTTTGAAGCAACTGCATGCCATATTTTTATATGAAAATAAACAAGCTGAAAACACTCAAAGAGAAAATCTTTTATTGCTTTTCTGTAGCATTAAGGCTCAAATGTCAACTGTGCATTGGATTGGTTTCTTCTTTAAATAATAAAAAAGTAAAAATATGAATGGTATTATAATGGTATACTAACACTAAAATTAAAACAATGGAAAAACCCTTAAGATAACCTGTAGAAAGTAAAAACCCATCTTAAGCACATAAGTGGACTTTAAACGATTAATTGCCACTTTGAACGATTACGTAATTGTGGCATCTGTAATTGTAATCGCGATTAGAAATTCGATTAATTGTGCAGCCCTATTAGGGCATAAGGTGCATGGCGGTAACTTATGATGCGATCGAAACGAGTTTGAATCCGCTTATTCTTCTCCCTTTTCCCATCACAAATGCGATCGGAAAGGTGTTAATTTTCAATTTGGAAATAAAGTGCCTCACGGGTATTTAATAACAAAGTGTTTCTCAGATAGGGTTAGGGATAGGTGTAGGGAGGGCTTTATTGTCCCAATAAGGTGGCATCCATTTAAAAATTTTAATAAATATGATAATTTACACTAGGGCTGGGCAAAAAAAATCAAATGCGATTTTCATGATTAGTAGTAAATCTCCAGCACGTGCTTTCAAAACGTGCCGATTTTGTGTAGCTCGTAAGTGAACTACGGCTCTGTGTAGTAAATGCCGCTCCATCTGAAAGCACGTGTTGGAGATTTACTACTAATCACCAGAAGCGGCTTTACTGACAAGATGCGCATGAAAATCGCATTCGATTTCTTGCACAGCCCTAATTTACACAGTATGTTATTATTGCATAATGCTTTATAATGTAATACAATACCGAGGTGCAATTATCTGCTATTTTTGCACTAAGTAGCATCTAGCTACTATTTACACTTATTGCAAAGAAAAAACTGCTATTTTTACATAGTGTAAATGAAATCTATTGTTATTTGCACTTAGTGTAAATAGGATATTGCTATAGTTAGAAAATACTGCTATTTTCACTTAGTGTATGAATAAAATGTATTTCTATCTGCACTTTTATAGCCTTCTACCATTTACATTGGAAAAGCGTGCCCATGGTGGCACATCTGCAAAATCATCTCACTTTGCTTCTTGCACATTTCACGACACTTTCAAAGTGAAATGTCCAGTGAGTTATACTAAAAGTTCTTTCAGTTTTATCCAAAACAATTGAATGTGAATCTGGCAACGTTTTATTATTATGGTTGTTGTACGTATCACAACAGTTCAGAAATGAAATATTCAGTGAGTGATGCTAAAAAGTTAATGCTCTATTGCTTTTGAAAATAACGTACCACCTACACTAAACTCTACTCTAAACATAACAGATAGTGTTAACGAAAGCAAACATTAGATAAAAACTCACTTGATAAAGCAAACATGCCGTTTTAGCTTTTTTATTGTATGACTCATTTTTCACAGGACATGCACTCATCAAGTGCAATTCTGCTCCAGGTGAGCTGTCGTGTAAGTATACTTAATCAGTAAAATCATACATATGAAGTGGGTTATGTGTCAGAAATAGTCCAAATTTGTGTGATAAGGAGTAAAAGTTGTTGGTGTTTTGCATTTACATTTATTCATTTTATCCAATGCGACTTAAAATTGAGGAATGCAACAAGTGATTGATCATAAAGAGTTAAATAAACACATGAAGTGCTTGTAATACACACTTTCAGACATTGTTCAGATTAGTACAGGCTAGACAGGGAGGGATTAAGGAAAGAGAAAGCAAAGTTGTTGTTTTTTTTATTATTATTTAAGGATGCAGTCAAATGTTGACGAAAGAGAAAAAGAGAAGTGTGATGAGGGCCCTTTTGGCTCATTGAAGACCAGTCATGCTGCTGCATTCTGAATCATTTGTAGAGGTCTGATTGTGCATGATGGAAGTCCAGCCAGAAGAGCATTGCAGTAGTCCAGCCTAGAAATGAAAAGGGCCTGGATAGGAAGTTGTGCAGCATGCTCTGTTAGAAAGGGCCTGATCTTTCTGATGTTATGCAATGCGAACCTGCATGATCGAGCGGTTTTTGCATTGTGGTCTTTGAAGGTCAGCTGGTTATCAAAGATTACGCCAAGATTTCTGATGGGGTAATTGTTGCTGAACCTAGTTGGATTGTGAAATCACGCTGTAGATTCAGAGTGGCAGGGAAGATGAGAAACTCAGTCTTTGCCAGGTTGAGCTGCAGGGGATGTTCTTTCATCCATGCCGAGATGTCTGCCAAGCAGCCTGAGATCCATGGGTCTGCTGTTGGATCATCTGGTTGAAATGAAAGATAGAGCTGCTTTACTGCCGCTAGTGTTCATTTCAGCTTTTTAACACATGAAAAAGTTTATTTATAGGTATTTTAAAGGTACAGTAAAAGCAGTCATTTAATTCTCAGTGAGAGGGGGGTAAATAGTCATATAAACGAAATGATTACTTTGTTTATTGTAGGGCTGTCAAAATGACTGAAAAACTAAATTTGAATTTTCCACTTAAATATGATCAAAATTCAAATTATATTCGAATTTAAAAGGCATAATTTTAGTTGGGGGGAAAAAACTAAAAACTAACTGAGGCCACAAGAGGGCACATCGAGCAAAATATTATGCACGTTTCTTCAAAGCGTAATAAAATAACACGACGATCTTTGAAAAAAAGTGCATAATGTTTAAAATAATGTTTATAAACCATATATAATTAATAAAGTTGCTTAAACAATTAGGAAAAAAAACAGCACCATGCATGTATGTATAGTTTGAAGGACCGAAAACCAATCACAAAGAGTAGGCTACTTTCTTCATTTAAAAACATGACATACAGTGGGATGGGGTAAAACCGCCATAAAGTCTTGAGACATGTTTTTTTACATGGCTTTCTAAACATGCCGCTCTCTTGTGCGAGACGCGAGTGCAACGCTGATAGATGCCCCGCTAGAAAATGTGATAAATATGCATTCTGTGTGAACGGCTTGGTTTCAGTTTCGCCATAAACAACATCTTCGCCACACTGATGCTCTCATTTTCCGCTATATATTGAATGAACAACGTAGCAGCGCCGCATCTAGTGGGTTCAACTGGATAGGTTAACAAAAGCATTCAAATGCAATGGCACTTACATTGTCGTCGCATCTCGTGCGCAACTGATAAGGCTGCCTGACGGCTGACGCAGATCTAAAATTTGAATGCAACGTTTTTGCATTCGAATGTGGATTTTTTATTTTTTTTATTTGATGAATATTCGAAATTCAACATTTTTTTTGACAGCCCTAGTTTACAGCAAAAATAAGGTAAAAGGTAGCAGTGTGTGACCCCTTTTAAACCTGACGCGGCATTCCTGTGTTGACGTCAAACATAGACAAGATACTGTCTTTCTGTTTGTGTTTGAATATATAGATGGAACATGTTGTCTCGTGCTCATGTGATGTGTGTGTATGCATATGTGAGTGAGTGTCCAGTTGCATTCTCTCATATTTGCACATGTATACATAATCTAGTGCACAAGTGCCTGAAATAGCCGTATTATATAAGAAACACTGGTCTGTCCTAGACCCAACAATCTGGTACACATGCTGCTGCTCACTCAAACTCTGTGGCATGTGAGGGGAAAAATATGCAAATGCTTAAATGCAGCAAGCACACGTGAGAACACCTCCAGGTCACGAATATGTGTGTTTGTGTACGGTAGGACAGGTCTAAAACTGGCTGGATCACTTAATTACTCAGGAGTCACCTATACTCTCTGAGACAGAGAAAAGCTATAGGTTAATTACAACAGTTGGGAATAAGGCCTGAAACATGCTCTTCGCAAATACTTGAACTCAAATGCTTTTATTTCCTATGTTACGTTGTGTTACAGAATCTGTCAGACCACAATTTATAACACTATGTAGAAGTACATTCTCCACTTGTAGCCTTACTGCAAGAGGTGATATAGTGGAAACGGTTGATGTGAATTCTATTTTGACAAGTTGAATGGAAGATGGAATGTCGCAACGCTACTAATAGTCACGCATGTATATCATATATATGTATTGCAGTGGGAAAAAAGTGTTATGTCTATGTAATAACACCAAATGTGTAAATGAGCTGTGTTATTTTGGAAAACGGCTACTTGTGTAATCAAGTAATTTTTTTGTTTGCTTTGTTTTGTTGTAATATTTTTTTTTTGTAATTGTTTTGTTTTATGTTTTGCTTTACAAGTTGTAATTGTTTTTTGTTTGCTTTTTGTTTTATGCTGTAGTGTTTTTTGTTTTGTTTTGTTTGTGGTTTTATGTCGTAATTTATTTGTTTTTTTTTCTCTTTTTTTTTTTAGTTTTGTTTTGTTTTCCAGCCTCAATCTGACAGATTTTTGCTTTTTGTATTATGTTGCAGTGTTTTGGTTTAGTTTTTTACTTTTTTGTTTTGTTTGTGCGGTTTTATGTCGTAATTCATTTGTTTTGTTTCTTTTTTTTTTCCAGTCTCATTAATCTGACTGATTTTAGACCTTTTTTTTTTTTTTGGATTGCATGAGGCAGTTCATAACAAAAAAAAGAAATCTATGGGGTGCTGGTAATTTATTCTTCCTTTGTGCTGTATTTTTCTGCCTCTCGTTTGCTCCTCCTCCCTGTCTGAACCCAGTGTTCTGTCTTTCCTCCCCTGCTGAAACTTTACCTTTAACCTACATGAGGGAAATACTCTGGCTCTGTCTTTCTCTCCCCTTTTTTACTCCTCCCGTTCATCTGGCAGTTTCAACCCCCTTCTTTCTCGCTCTGTTGTCTGCGGTTTCTCCTCATGCAGTTAGCACATGGGAGGAGTTCCCTGTAAGAATGTGTGTACACACACACACACACACACGCATATGGAAATGCATACTGCAGCAGCCAGCCAGTGCAGTAAAAAACAGGCCTGACAAATACACCTCCCACTACACAACCTAAAAAGCCTTGAGATTCTTCAGGCTCTTATAAGATTGTGTTTATGTAATGCTGACGAGCTTATATGTAAACATGGCAGGAATAAACAGGAACAAATATCATTATCTGCTGTCATGGTATTGCCAGCACAGACTCTGTGCAGAGATCTGGCTCTTTGTTTCACAAAGTCACGCGAGATTAACTATCAGCTGTTCGCGGGGGGTGACGCTAGCACTGCACGTGGCTTTTCTCCGCCTTCTGTGCTGCTTTCGTGATTGGCAGGAGCTTGGAAAGTGCTGATTGGGCAGAAGTTTCCTGGCCCCTCCCATTGACTCAGAGCGGTGTTTGTGCTCGAAATGTGGACAACCAAGAGGAGGATGATGTTGTAGGGTACTTAATGACGGCAAACATAATGTCCCTTCCCCTGCTAGAGCTCTACATCTTAGAATCTTGTTTTATTTTGTTTTGTATGTTTTTTGTTTAATACACATTTAATTTAGTATTTCAAAGGTGAGTTGAATTTTAATAGCTGGAAAAGAGAAGTTTCTACTTCTTATCCTACTGTGATTTTAAGGTTTTAGCACTGTCCACAATGCAATGTCTCTGACACCAACTATTTATCGTCATTACTGAATAAAATACCATTACATGCCTCTAACTTTTATTTTTTTGCGTCAAAGAAATCCGAATTTGTAATGAATATGACATTGTAGTGGTGTTCATGCACTCATCTCATGATAAAATCATTCTGACGTGACTTTAGAAGACTTTATCTCAGTCTAACAAGCTCCCTATTTAAGTACCTTTAGCAAAGTCTTATATGGGCTTTTCCTGTAGCTTTTGGTAAACTGTGCTTTTAATTTCATGAACGAATGCCAATATATAGAAGAACATGTTTATTTTTCTTTTTGTGAAAGTAGGAAAGAGAGTATATTCCACAAAAGTGGGTCATATAGCAGTTCTTCACAGTATGTTGTTGTTTTCCTGGTCTAATAGTCCCAACAGCTATTCTGTGTCTCCACCCGTTGGTTTTTCTGGATCGTAATTGGTTTGCATAGCATTATTTTTGCCACAAAGAAACCACAGTTTGTGTATTCACTTTGTGACCACCAGCTGACATGTTCTGGCTAAAAGTATCTCCAGTATGGAACTGGAAAAAAGGTTCATTCATTCAGCCAGACACCATAAGAGCCCTGTTGTGAAATGTGGTTTCCAATCCACTGACAGATTGGAGCAACGAAAAGATTCCTGAAATAGACTTGAATCAGTATTGTTTTGACACAACCCTACCAAAAATTAAGAGCATCAATAGACTATTTCTCTTTGCAGAGATATATTGAGTGTACTCCACCCCATGGATCATTCTGTGTATGCTGTGCCTTTTCAGCCTCATGTTGAAAAAGAAAATTTGGATCAGAACAATTAACACTCCATCAAGAGAATTATATTTAACAACTGGATTTCAACTGCTAGTCTGAGAAATTATATTCATATGTGGCAACCAACAACCAACACATCACCAATGTTTTTTAAATTAGGTAATTAATTTCAGAAACTTTTTTTAGTACTTAAATTACTAATATTTAACACTCTTCTGTCTCTCACTTTTCTTTGGCAAAACGCACTTTGTGTGGAATGCTGTGATATGATTTCATGTCATTTCTGTGGAATAATGTTTTTGTTCACAAACTATGAAAACACACACCTTTAGATGATAGGGAGAGAGAGACAGCTGTGCAGTCAGGGATGGGATACTCTCTGTTGGCCCTGTTGTCCTGGGAGTCTGACGCTATGAGAACAATAGGCCCATTGGCCGACTGTAACGGACCTCAACTGCCATGTAGACACTTTTGTTTGGAGCTCAAAGCTGTGGGTAAACCTACTCTCATGAACCTCAGTTCTATCTGGTTCTCAGCAAACATGGAATAATTACCAACACAACTAATGCTGTGAACTGCTCCGTATGTGTAATATCAAATTATGTGGACTCACCTGCTCCTCAGGTTTTAATTGAGATGATTATGACAGCAAATGCTTTACCTATTACGAGTCCTAATTTGAATTGTCAGCTTTATTTTTCACACGTATCACAATAGTGTTGGTATCAGAATCTGGTGTGTCGCATTTAACACGCGTTTCTACATTCCATTTAAATCCAGACAGCTGGTTTCTTATTAAGCTGTTGATCAGGTATGTTTTACTGCTGGAAAATACGCTGGTGAATGCGTTTGCTTAGCCCAGTTTTCACAGCTGGTAAACAGAGCAAAGATTGTTTGCTATGCATAAACAGTGTTATCTTCTCTGGAACTGTGAAACTGGCTATGTGTTTCTGGATAATGTTTCAGTAACCATTGGTAATAAACCACATGAAATCAAAATTGAAGTTCCGTGGCTTTCTAGTCCATGTTCATTAGCTATCGATACGCTAAGGTGACCAGACGTGCCACTTCCCGAGGAAACGTTCTGTCCAGGATTTCAAAATTGCCTAAAATAGCCAGGTGTTGGCTGTTTGCGCTGCGCGGTTCGATCGTTGTATTACATCAGAGTACTGCAAGATCCAATGCAGAACGTGTTCCCGTGAAGTGACACATCTGGTCACTTTACTGTATGCTAGTGCACTTAGAAAAGTTTCTAAACTTTATAGAAGATATATCATTTTATTCAAAGGGACATATACATTTTTATCCAGTTTTAGAGTAGGTTGGTTTCTCCATTAACTGACTAGCATTAGCAAGTAGTAGAAGTTTTTCCACACTGTGATGTAAACTGCGGACAAACCACTCGGCATGTCCCAACCCAAGGAAAGAAAAACGTTTTAAAGTGTGTCTTATAAGAACCAAAAAGCGATTTTCAACATAATCCAGTAATCCCGATGTGAGAGTTTATAACTCTGAGAGGATATACTACCAGCTATCTGAGTAATATGCTCTGAGGTTTTTGAATGAAAAAATGGCAACATGTCACTAACTCAGTCAATGTCTCACCTCTGTCTTTTTAGAAGCAGCAGAGGAGTTCTTTGAGTATGATGCTGAGGACTTCCTGGTGTTCCTGACACTCCTGATCACAGAAGGACGGACTCCGGAATGTTCCGTAAAGGGGCGGACAGAGGGTGTTCACTGCCCATCTGCCCAGTCTGCTATGCCTGTCCTTACCAAACATGAATGCAGCGACAAAATACCACACGTGGGTTACACCTTTTTTTATTATCCCAAGGAGGGGCATGTAGTTACATTTCACAATTTGTAAGAGTAAAATCCGATGTTAACAAGCAGTAAATTATGTTCTTATGTTGTCATCAACAGCTGTGTGTCTCTGAGAAAACATTATCTTTTCAACTTCTTGTTCTTTGTTAATGAGGACAGACAGGGATTTCTGTTTGGAAACCTGTTTGAAAACAGTCAGAATGTTTGCTCATGACAGAAATTGTACACTTCACCTTTAGGTTAATGACTCGCAGGTTGTTGTGCATTATGTTTGTTATTTTGCATCTTAAAGGAACACTCCACTATTTTTGAAAATAGGCTAATTTTCCAACTCCCCTAGAGTTAAACAGTTGAGTTTTACCGTTTTCGAATCCATTCAGCCGATCTCCGGGTCTGGCGGCAGCACTTTTAGCTGTAGCTTAGCATAGATCATTGAATCTGATTAGACCGTTAGCATCTCGCTCCAAAATGAGCAAAGAGTTTCTATATTTTTCCTATTTAAATCTTGAGCTCTTTCAAGTCTAGACCGACGGAAAATGAAAAGTTGCGATTTTCTAGGCCGATATGGCTAGGAACTATACTCTCATTCCAGCGTAATAATCAAGGAACTCTGCTGCCGTACCATGGGTGCAGCAGGCGCAATGATATTACGTAGCGCCTGAAAATAGGCTAACTTCCGTCAACATAACCAACGTGACCACCTGATTGCACAGGGAGCGTGCTAGGGACAGGTTATGTAGTAAACAACAAAACTTTTTCCCCAATGCAGTGTCGTCAGGCAAGAAGAACAAGGTCAGAGGTCATGTTACTATGGCGCAATCACATCCCCATCATGATTGAGGTGATGCTGCTTCCTGACTGTTGCTATAGCGATGAAGGTCCGACCACAGACTGCACAGACCTAAATGATCCAGCAATAAAGCAAGATGCGCTCTTACTAGAGAGATGGACTTTACAGCCAGTGCCCAGACAGTAAGACTTGCTCTTTACAGTACTTCCAATACACATTCTTTCCCACAGGTCTAGGGAATTTTAACAAAGTTGGTGTTTGTTACAGGAGTGGAGATCGATTTACCGAGGAGAAAACCTTGCTGTTGGCTGTGCGTTCCTACGTGTTTTTCTCGCAGCTCAGCGCGTGGCTCAGTGCCTCTCACGGACTTGTACCTAGAAACATCCTATACAGGTAACATACTCTACATGCAAACACTTTCAAGGGTAGGAAGAAATGATGACATTTATCCTTCAAAAAGGATGCCATCTTTGTAAAGGATAAATGTGAAGCTACATTACATTTAGGTAGGATCCTAGGTAGGGTTCTCACTAGGTGATTCCATGGGATTTGTTAATGAAACGCAAGCAAAAAAATAATGTGTGTAAATAGTGTGTAAAACCTTCCAGAAGATTTTATATGTGCCTTTCAGGAGACTGTAGGAATGTTTAAGAAGAGACAGGAAGTCAGGGGAGTCAAGAGAGAAAAGAAGAAAGACAGAAAGTCATACATTACATACATTGTATCATTCGATTCAGTGCAACAGTTTACATAAGAATGGATTTATTAACAATCCCATTTGCTGTATTTTGCAGAATAAGTGCAGCTGATGAAGAACTGCTATGGAACTTCTCACAAACACCCTCTGAACATGCTTTCCCTGTCCCAAATGTGTCCCATAGTGTCGCTCTCAAAGTGCGGGTTCAGTCTTTGCCTCGCCAGCCCAAATACCCCATACTCAAATGTAGCATTCACTCAGGTATAGCTTCTTTGGGCAAGAGAAACCTGGAGCGTGGAGAGGGTAGGAACCATCCTGGAGAGAATCGCAGTTCCCTCCGTATGCCAGGATCTCCACTCTTCTCCAGGCCTCTACGCCCTTCTCCACCTTCCCACAGCCCTCTTAACACCCGTAAATGCCACCCTCGCCCTCAGTCCCCTCTCCCACCAGGCAAAGCCGTCAAGTGGCTGTACTCTCGGCTGAACGGCGGCGTGGACATCCCCCCTACAGAGGCATACAACTTGTGTACTGATGGGGCGGAGAGCCCGAAGACCTCAAGTGTGGAGTCACCAATTCGTGGTTTTAAATCACTCTCCATTACTGACCCTTTAGTTACCCCCAGCCCATGTCCCAGCTCCATCTCAGGTGAAACCAACCCCCTCATTGGCTCCCTGCTTCAGGAGAGACAGGAAGTCATTGCTCGCATTGCTCAGCGACTGAATTTATGCGACCCTACAGCTCCCCATCTCCCTGATGCTCTCTTCACTTCTCAAGAACCGCCAGGACACAAAACAACCAGGAACTCATCGCAGGATAAGGAGCGCTTGAAGAAATCCAAAGAGCCCCTCTTCCCAGTCCCACAGCCTCAAAACCACAATGGAACCAGTCCAGAAATCCCTGAGAGGAGCCGGTCTTCTCTCTTTGACACCCCCTTGAGCCCTAGAAGCAGAACACGGCTGGACAGAGTCGACCGCGAATCAAAAACGTCCCCAAAACTCTCGACTTGTAGGCGTCTGGTACTCAGTGACCAGTCTGCTGAGGGTTCTCTGATTGCAGATGCAGTTCAGGACATCTCCAGGTTGATTCAGGAGCGACTGCAACATTCCTACAGTCTCCTGAATGGAACCTATAAATTGAAGACCTCTCAAACCGAACAGGTTGAAACAAATCACGGAGTGCAGACAAATGGCTTTGTATCATCAAACCATGAGAAGTCTTCAAGTGCACCCAATGGTGAGGCAAGCACAGATCCTCGTATTTCTCAAGCAACAAAATGTTGCAGATCTCCTGACTCTCATCGCTGTAAGCGGGACTGTTCCCCTAGACCACAAAATGTGGCCGGTTTAAAACTTGAAGACCACAGCGTCACAAAATCACAGCCTTTAACGGCAACTAATAAGCAACAGTATGCCAGAAGAGAGTCCTGGACCTCCTTGAATAGCTACTCTAGCCATGCAAGCTCTCCTCAGGAGAATGGCCTGACCCGAACTGGATACCTCCAGCCCTTCAAGACCCAAGAGGCAAACCGTGAGAAAGGAGCAGAAAAGGATGTCTGGAATGGGTCCTCTTGTCCTGAGAAGGATGAGAACCAGGAGCCCTGGGCTTCTCCCTCGAGCACACCAGCCAACCTTACTTGCAACACCTCCAGTCCTGCCCAGAGCAATCACACTGTGAGTTGATATGTCTCTCTCTTATGCGTTTTTTATGTGTAAATGCACTAAGGTCAAGTGGGTTTATAGGCATAGATTTGTTTCTTGTTATGTTTTAAAACCTTTATTTGAAACCCATTGCTGAATTTCTCCTCTCTGTCTTTGTATTAACAGAGACCCTCCCCATTGAAGTCATGCAGTAACTGGAAAAAACAGAATCGCCACTCCATAGACGGAACTGCAACAAAAGCCTTCCACCCCTGCACAGGCCTACCTCTCCTCTCCAGCCCGGTAAGACTATAGATCTCTCTGTCACTCTCCAACACAGAGATTACAGCACAGCATCTTACTGAAAGGGCCCCAGAGTCTTTGTGTCTGTGACTCATCTACTGAATCACTTCTTGTTTGTCTCAAATGCTGTCCACAGTTTCTAAGCCTCCTAGATGACATGCTAATGAAGTCTTATGGGCCATAGACTTAAAATAAAAACTTCTTTCAACACTTTATTAATACTTTCCATTAATACTCTTAGTAAATTAAGTCATGAGTGTTTTCAAATCATACCGATGGCAGAATGAGTTCTGATTTGTACCGTATGACTCAGGCACTTCTCTGTGTGTGGGAGTTTGGTGCTGTTACTCCAGATGAGTGGTGCTCTTGTTCTCTAGAGATCCACTCAAATGTAATTCTCACTCTTTCTATTGGTTTTCATTAAATGTTGCAAGCAACTAAACTGTTTTGATCAGCATTTTCTGCAAGACATGACCAGTCTAAAAAAAGGTACTATGTACTACTTTTTTTATGTACAAAATTCCTCTCCAGTAAGATTAGTTTAGTTTTGATCTTAAGAAATTAAAAACTTTTTTATCATTTCCCACGGATTTTACAGGTAGTTAATAATTAGGGTTAGAGATAAGGATAGGCATCAACGCATCAATTATTTGCAAGCTGACGTAAAATATAAATGTTTACATTTTTAGAAAATATTTGAGAATATTTGTGGCTTTTAAATCTGTCTTTGATAGATATGGGAACAAATAGATCCTTGGTCTGTTTGTTTGTTTGTTTGTTTTATAGTAGCAACAGTGTTACCATCGGCACACACACACATACACACACACACAGTATTTTCTGTATTACAGGAGCTTTAAGTACTTGCATATACATTTAAAAAACTAAAGAGGCTCAATAAGACAGAGTAAATGAAGAGTTAATACACATTGAAAGAAACTTATATGCAATTGCAAATTGGGTACAGTATGTTGTATCAGTATAGACATTTATATAACGTACAATTGTGCAATTGGTCACAAGCTTGCAAAACAAAGATGTAAATGTGTTCAACTGCTTCCTCCTTTTCCCCTCAGGTTCCTCAAAGAAAAAGCCAGACAGGATATTTTCATTTAGACACGTCTCTGATTCATTGCAGAGGACTGCCATGGGCTGCCAATAAGAGGTATGACTTTCTTTCCTCACTTTATTTTCTGCTGTAGTGCCATTGTTCCATAATTCACTGTGCCATTTTCCTTTACTGAGGCTTTCCTACATACACTGCCATCTGCTGTGCACACATACACTAGAGTTATCCCTAAAGCTCAGCCTACCTAAAATGGCTGACTAAACTTTGTGTGTGTGTGTTTGCAGGGTTTTGAAAAGATCACAAGACTTTGATGAGTCTCAGCATCAGATCATTAGTGCCAGCGCTCCACCCGCCAACCTCAGCCTTTTGGGAAACTTTGAGGTAGATGAACAAATAATTTCACTCACACACAGACACAATTAGTGAACAATCCTTTGTGTCAACACCCTCTTTCTTTATTTGGTCTAATGGTTTTGTTTTTTACCCTGCTCATACATTTACCATATGCCTCAAAAATGTATAAAAATTCCATGTCAGTAATGAATGTTAAAACTAGACTTGTTCATAGACATAGTCGTAATTTCAACTAGATTGGATTAATAGATGGATATATAGATGTTTCTTTGTGTTTATGTGTGCAGGAGTGTGTTCTGAATTATCGTTTGGAGCCATTGGGCACAATCGAGGGTTTCACAGCAGAGGTTGGCGCCAGCGGAACGTTCTGCCCCAGTCACACGACCTTACCTGTTGACGTGTCGTTCTACAGCGTCTCTGATGATAACGCACCTTCCCCCTACATGGTAATGACCCAAGCTGAATTACTTGGATATTTTGTGTACTTGTCGTGGGTATGTTACTATCATTTTTGTCTCCCCTTTCTTCGGTTAGTACGATTGTGTAAATACAGAAACGTAACACCAGTGAAGGAGTCCATAATGTTAGTATCAATTGTTATGTTATTTAAAAGATTCAAACTTTATCTTGATTGAATTCTCCTGCTTCTCTTTAGGGTGTCATAAACTTGGAGTCTCTCGGTAAGAGGGGATATCGAGTACCTCCTTCAGGAACCATTCAAGTGGTAAGCATCAACTTATGTTATAAAACACATAATTAAATGCTTACAAACTGTGTGTCATGGTCATGACACACTTTTTCGAATGAATAATAACTACTCACAAGTATGTGTAATAACCAGACTGCATTGTGAGAACAAAGGAAAATGTCAACCGTTAAAACAGTTTACAGATGTGCCCTCTACTGGTGAACGTGTCAGAATAGAAAGAAAAACGTATCGCTTACTAACCTTTCCAGGGTAGTCCTTTCATAGCCTGTCTAAATCTTTAAAAAAAAAATGAGCAGGCTTTTTCATGGTAATTGACATTATAACACAAAATGTTGTCAGTACCTGTGCTTCCTTTAAAGTCTTTGATTTGCATTCCCTGTTGAAAAAACCAGCATATGCTGGTTAGGTATGTTTTGATTCTGGTTTAAGCTGGTCCTTTGCTGGTTTATGCTGGTCCTTTGCTGGTTTAAACTGGTCCTTTGCTGGTTTAAGCTGGTCCTTTGCCAGCACATGACCAGCATAAACCAGCAAAGGACCAGCATAAACCAGCATCCCAGCGTCAAAAACCAGCATCAAAACATACCTAACCAGCATATGCTGGTTTTTTCAACAGGGAATGCAAATCAAAGACTTTAAAGGAAGCACAGGTACTGACAACATTTTGTGTTATAATGTCAATTACCATGAAAAAGCCTGCTCATTTTTTTTTTAAAGATTTAGACAGGCTATGAAAGGATTGGGAAACTTTGAGGTAGATGAACAAATAATTTCACTCACACACAGACACAATTAGTGAACAATCCTTTGTGTCAACACCCTCTTTCTTTATTTGGTCTAATGGTTTTGTTTTTTACCCTGCTCATACATTTACCATATGCCTCAAAAATGTATAAAAATTCCATGTCAGTAATGAATGTTAAAACTAGACTTGTTCATAGACATAGTCGTAATTTCAACTAGATTGGATTAATAGATGGATATATAGATGTTTCTTTGTGTTTATGTGTGCAGGAGTGTGTTCTGAATTATCGTTTGGAGCCATTGGGCACAATCGAGGGTTTCACAGCAGAGGTTGGCGCCAGCGGAACGTTCTGCCCCAGTCACACGACCTTACCTGTTGACGTGTCGTTCTACAGCGTCTCTGATGATAACGCACCTTCCCCCTACATGGTAATGACCCAAGCTGAATTACTTGGATATTTTGTGTACTTGTCGTGGGTATGTTACTATCATTTTTGTCTCCCCTTTCTTCGGTTAGTACGATTGTGTAAATACAGAAACGTAACACCAGTGAAGGAGTCCATAATGTTAGTATCAATTGTTATGTTATTTAAAAGATTCAAACTTTATCTTGATTGAATTCTCCTGCTTCTCTTTAGGGTGTCATAAACTTGGAGTCTCTCGGTAAGAGGGGATATCGAGTACCTCCTTCAGGAACCATTCAAGTGGTAAGCATCAACTTATGTTATAAAACACATAATTAAATGCTTACAAACTGTGTGTCATGGTCATGACACACTTTTTCGAATGAATAATAACTACTCACAAGTATGTGTAATAACCAGACTGCATTGTGAGAACAAAGGAAAATGTCAACCGTTAAAACAGTTTACAGATGTGCCCTCTACTGGTGAACGTGTCAGAATAGAAAGAAAAACGTATCGCTTACTAACCTTTCCAGGGTAGTCCTTTCATAGCCTGTCTAAATCTTTAAAAAAAAAATGAGCAGGCTTTTTCATGGTAATTGACATTATAACACAAAATGTTGTCAGTACCTGTGCTTCCTTTAAAGTCTTTGATTTGCATTCCCTGTTGAAAAAACCAGCATATGCTGGTTAGGTATGTTTTGATGCTGGTTTAAGCTGGTCCTTTGCTGGTTTATGCTGGTCCTTTGCTGGTTTAAACTGGTCCTTTGCTGGTTTAAGCTGGTCCTTTGCCAGCACATGACCAGCATAAACCAGCAAAGGACCAGCATAAACCAGCATCCCAGCGTCAAAACATACCTAACCAGCATAACCTGACCTAACCTGTTTTTTCAACAGGGTTAGTCATGAATGAATCACTCTGATGCAGTGTTTTTAATGAATGATTTTGGACGATAGTAAAATAAAACTGTTATTTTAATAGAGGTTTTAATGGATTTCCACCCACTCCGATAATTAGCATCTGTTTCTGATGAAATGCTCACTGACTGCAACTTTAAATGAGTTTGAATTCATGCTCGTGTTTTCCATTTTCTGTAGCTTTGATGCTCAGCGGATGTTTTGTCTTCTGTCTCTGTGTGTCAGACCTTATTTAACCCCAATAAGACAGTGGTGAAGATGTTTGTGGTGATGTATGATCTGAGAGAAATGCCCGCCAGCCATCAGACATTCCTGCGGCAGAGAACCTTCTCAGTCCCAGTCAAACGCGAGTTCAATGGACATAACAACAAAAAGCCATCCCAACTGAGTCAAGGACGAAGCCTCCGCTACCTCGTCCATCTGAGGTCGGTACCATGGACGTGAAGCTGACCACCTTAAGTGCTCACTTGAGGATTTTCTTTCTGGAATACAGGGCTGAAATGCTCGTTGTTTGCTGTCAGATGATGCTGTCAAGTGCTTTTGGTCAAGACCACACTTGCTTAACAGGCAGCTTGTGGCCCCGACATGCCTATTCCTGAATATGTATACTCATTTTAATTAGCCCCCAGAAGTTGCCTGATAAGGTGTGTGAAAATGCAGTGCTCTTTTTAAGTCCTTATTAGAGCAAGTCTGTTCATTTCCAGGCAGCTATTTTCTAGTCATGAAAGTACAGCTCTTATCTACTTGAATAAGGAATTAAGTCTCCAAAACTGTTTGTCAGGTTTACTTTTCAGCTAAATTAAGCACTGATAAACAGAAAATTGACCAAAAATCTTTCAAACTTACAAAAACGGAAACATGTGGAAAAACAGTGTACACGCAAGGATAGCTGACCAGATGTGTGTGTGTGTGTGGTGTTCCCTACATTATGAGGACCAAATGTCCCCACAAGTATAGTAATACCAGTAAATTTTGATGTTTTGGGGACATAGTTGTTTTCGTCCGCATGAGTAAACAAGCTTATAAATCATAGAAAAAATTAACTTTTTTTTAAAAATAAAAGAAAAGTTTTGTGTGAGGGGTAGGGTTAGGTTAAGGGGATAGAAAATACAGTTTGTACTGTAGAAAAACCATTATGTCTATGGAATGTCCCCATTAAAAAAAATAGAAACCAGTGTGCGTGTGTGTAGAAAGCTAATGAAAATTCATTGGTGTTCCAGTGTACATGTAAATCTATAAAACCATCAAGCACATGGATGCATTCTATGCAATGGTGTGTGTTGGTTTATATATCCTGGTGGGGACTTAAACCTGACTACACACAGACTCATGGGGACTCGTGTCACGGTGGGGACCTAAATTGTGGTCCCCACGGGTACAAAAGCTTATAAATCATACAGAATTAAGTTTTTTGAAAATCAAAAAATGCAGAAAGTTTCCTGTGAGGGGTAGGGTTGGTGTAGGGCAATAGAATATAGGGTCTGTACAGTAAAAAAAAACGTTACGCCTATGGAGAGTCCCCACAAGGATAGCTGACCAGATGTGTGTGTGTGTGTGGTGTTCCCTACATTATGAGGACCAAATGTCCCCACAAGTATAGTAATACCAGTAAATTTTTATGTTTTGGGGACATAGTTGTTTTCGTCCGCATGAGTAAACAAGCTTATAAATCATAGAAAAAATTAACTTTTTTTAAAAAAGAAAAGAAAAGTTTTGTGTGAGGGGTAGGGTTAGGTCAATAATCCGCCCAATAATCCAGATGCTAGTCCTGCTACTGCTGCTAATCCTGATGCTGCTGCTGATGCTAATGCTACTGATGCTATTACTCCTGCTGCTGTTAGTGCTAATCCTGATGCTCCAAATGATGCTAATGTGTTGAATGCTTTTTTTGCTGCTTCTATAATCCATTGTGCTGCTGCTTTTACTTGGGATGCTGCCAACTTTATTTGATCTTTTACCCATTTTATTGTATTTATTGCCCATTTCAATAGAGTTACTGCTGTTGTTACTACACACGCTCCTACAAACAGTTTCAATGCAACTATTAAATGCTTTATTATTTTTATAACCCATTGTAACTGTGTTTTTGCTATTGCAACTATTGCAGCTCCTGCTATGGCTCCAACTATTGCTGCTCCTGTTAGTGAACGTTCTCCTACCATTGATCGCAACATTGCTGCTGCTATTCCTGCTATGCCTCCTGTTACTCCTGTTACTGCTACTGCTAGTAGTTCTGTTCTTTCTTCTTCTTCCCACAGTGAATGCAAAATGCCTACCGCAGCTGCTGCTCCAGCTGCTGCTCCGACTACTCCTTCACCTACTCCTGACATAAATGCATAAGCTACTACTACAACTGTTACAATTGTTAATGTTAGTGGTAACCGTAGAGTTGCCATTGGTTCTTCTGCTGCGGCTTTCTCTGCCGCTGAAACAGAATAAGAATTTTTACTATTAAATGTCACCACATTATAAACAAATAAAATATACTCACTAGCATGTATATGATATTAATGTTATCCTATTATAGTTTACATTTCTTACCCATGTTGTTTGATTTTAATTTGCCAGGATATGATGGCTCGGGTCTTCTGTAAGGCTGGAAGAACCTCTGACACTTTGATGTCCTGAGATATGGACAATGCAAACACAGACACAGTGTATTAACATTCAGACATCTGTTTCCACATCTCACCATAAGATGATGTGGGAAAGCTTCTTTCTCACCAATGCTTCCTTCACATTTGTCCCACTTACTTCCCTTTACCCATTCTTTCCTTCACCCATTTTTCTCAGAATGATCAGTTGCAAAATACAATGTTCTACATGAATGCATTTGATATTCACAATCATTTGAAATGTCTCAGTGCGACTGGTACAATGGTCTCAATCAATATAAGAAGTGAAGTGCTCACTGTAGAGGGTTTGTCCTTTCCCAGTGTATTTCATGCAAATTACCATCTGTCCCCAAAAGGGGTAAACTCTCTATGTCTAGGCCTTGATCATTGCAAATGCCAGTTGTTAGTTCCTGCCTCCATTTGGAGGATGTTTATCTGACTAATAATAAACTGTCATATTTGATATTATTCTGACCTACTCTGAAATGCTTTTCTGAAGTACATTAAGTGAAGGCATATGTTCCTGCAAATTTTGCAATATTAATCTATTACCGTTTCAGCTAACCTTACAGTTAAAAACCTGAAACCAGAGGCATTGCTACAGGGAAGCAGGTAAATCCCCAGTTTGAGGGGCCCACAAAGGGCTGATAATTTAAACAATCAGAAATATGAAAATCTTTACATTTCTCAAAGTAAACATCTTAAAATAATGTGCGCAGCAACATCTCAGCAACCTCAAGTACAACATTAGTCAACAATAACTAATACTGAAAATGCAGCATTTATTAAGTTTGATGAATGTAAATTTCAATAAATACTAATACATTTACTAAATGTTAACATTAGTCATTAATGCATAATGACCTAACATGAACTAACAATAAACAATCATATTCTACATGCGCTGTACATTGTATAATTACATTTAATCAATGTAATAATGTAAAATCTGACAAACCTGAAGTGAATTTGAATCCCAAAGAGCAAATTAAATGCTTAATATCATACAACAGATTTGTCTTGTGTTCTTGAATCTCCCGACTGATGAAAGAACACTGCACAGTATGCGGTGGTCTTAAATACTTGTATGCAGATCAGTCATCTTTTCAGTAAATCACATGACCTGTAGGAAACTGCAGCTGGATGAAAAGGTTTAAAAGTGCATTGAAGTGAAACTGAAAGTGAAACATCACCAAACGTTTACTACAAAGGGACAGAAATAAAATTTGATTGATTGAGGGTTGTGGGATGAGTAAATATTGCATTATTTTCAATTAAAATAAAATAAAATGTCTTATTTGTTTATTATTAATTATTATTTTAAAAAGTTAAAATAAAAAGATAGATGAGACATGAAGATATGCTTCAAGTACAATGAAGAGATATATAATACATTTGGGTAACACTTTATTTTAAGGTGTCCTTGTTACACGTTACATGTACTTACTATTATTACCTGCAAGTAACCCTAAGCCAAACCCTAATCCTAACCCTAACTATATAGTAAGTACATGTAGTGAATTAATATTACTCAGTACTTAAATGTATATTTACACTGTAACAAGGACACAATAAATACTAATACATTTACTAAATGTTAACATTAGTCATTAATGCATAATGACCTAACATGAACTAACAATAAACAATCATATTCTACATGCGCTGTACATTGTATAATTACATTTAATCAATGTAATAATGTAAAATCTGACAAACCTGAAGTGAATTTGAATCCCAAAGAGCAAATTAAATGCTTAATATCATACAACAGATTTGTCTTGTGTTCTTGAATCTCCCGACTGATGAAAGAACACTGCACAGTATGCGGTGGTCTTAAATACTTGTATGCAGATCAGTCATCTTTTCAGTAAATCACATGACCTGTAGGAAACTGCAGCTGGATGAAAAGGTTTAAAAGTGCATTGAAGTGAAACTGAAAGTGAAACATCACCAAACGTTTACTACAAAGGGCCAGAAATAAAATTTGATTGATTGAGGGTTGTGGGATGAGTAAATATTGCATTATTTTCAATTAAAATAAAATAAAATGTCTTATTTGTTTATTATGAATTATTATTTTAAAAAGTTAAAATAAAAAGATAGATGAGACATGAAGATATGCTTCAAGTACAATGAAGAGATATATAATACATTTGGGTAACACTTTATTTTAAGGTGTCCTTGTTACACGTTACATGTACTTACTATTATTACCTGCAAGTAACCCTAAGCCAAACCCTAATCCTAACCCTAACTATATAGTAAGTACATGTAGTGAATTAATATTACTCAGTACTTAAATGTATATTTACACTGTAACAAGGACACCATAAAATAAAGTGTAACCTACTTTAGTTATTCTATGGGCGGCTATCTACAACAGTAAAAGAACCAAAACCTCAAAAGACATTGAGCAAATAAATATAACAAGCAATAGGATGACAAATGTCAAAATATTTCCATTTTTCCACCTTTATATGTACAGAAATCACACTTTCCTTCTCCCGTTCTCTCTCGCAAACACACACACAGTACAGACAAACACTCATGCACACACATGGAGGCACATACAGAAACTGCGAATTCATCAATAAAATAGTTTAGCAGCTACATGACTACATGACCTTTCTCAGTTGTGAGGTTCTTGAAGCAGTTCAACTTAAAAGATTCGCTGTTAGTAGAGACGCTGCTGCTAACACTGCTGAGAGATGCACAGACGCAGGTATTTACATGTGCTCAATCTCTCTCTCTCTCTATCTCTAATAACTGCATTAGCCTGCATATCAATGGCTCAAGCCTCCGTTATTAGCTCTAAAATTATGTTTTGGAATTATCATTCCATTATTGGATGGGTTGGAGTTTTCAGGATGGAAACATGACAAATGTCTTGAAATAAAATATCTGAACAATATTTTGAGGTGTAGTTGTAACTCCAGGCCTTTAAAATTATTAGAGAAATAATGCACTCCCGAAGTGGTAATGTGACCACGATGCTGGAGCCTATTAATGGAATGGTCTTTCTCCATTTTCAAAAGAATTAAAGGCGTCATATGATGTGTCTTCAAGTTTTTCTATGTCTTTGGAGTGATATGAAAGGCCATGTTTCTGAATGACAGAACCTAGTGATGCCACGTTGACAGAGAAGAGAAGTGGTCTAAAAACTGAGCCCTGAGGCACCCCAGTAGCTAGATGTCGCTGTATATGTACAGGCCTACTCATTGTATATATACAGTATGTATATATATTGCAAGTATGCATCGAGTGTATCATTCGTACCCTTTAATCACCCACAATCCTTTGATCACATTCCAATTCACAAAATCAGAATTGGAGGAAAACGTGAACATGTGTCTCAATTTCCTCCCAAATGAAGCCAAGACAAATTAATCCAAAATATCCCAGATATTTTTTATTGCAAAGAACAAGAACATACAAATAATAACAATGCAAATTATAAACATAAAAACAAACATAGGAGATGAAATAAGATGTTTTTGTTTATGTATGTGAAATTTTGCCATTAAAATAATAATGCTAACAATAAATTCTAGATCTTTATTTCTTGTTTTCATAATACAAGATAACATCCTTTAAAGTAAAACAATAATTAATATTCCTTAATTTCAGTTATGTGAGGTGGAGCTGCAGTATCAAGGTCCCAAACAAACCACCGCAGACGCAATCACAAGCACACAATAATGGCTTGTCAAATTAAAATAAAATAAATTAAAATAAAATAAAATAAATAAATTCACTGATTGAGATGAAGGCCTATTTTGTTTTGCTGTACGCCAAATTAATCACATAACGAACCTTGAAGTAAACCACTGGAAAACCATAAGATGATTGTTATTCAGTGACAGTGTATTTTATTAAAAGAAAGTGAGACACTATAAAGTTTTTTTTTTTAATATAAAGATTGTTTTCCTAAATTAATTTTCAAATATTATTTGTATTATATTATTAATGTTGTGACCGTGGGGGAGAAAAACCTTCATGACACTGCCATGCAGACTTATCAGATCATCTCATTCTATCGTTTAATGCGGAAGAGAACTCTAGCCTAGAACCCTTAAAGGCACAATATGTAAGATTTTTTTATAAAAATATCCAAAAACCACTAGAACATATATTATACGTGTTATACAGTATATTTTGCTGACTTGTGTACTTACATTATCCCAAATGTTTCGAAGAATGTTTAAATCCAGAGAAACAAGCAATTTTAACTAGTGACACAGACCGTGTCCATAGTGTCATTGTGTCGCCTTCAAATAACGTCATAACCCCTCGATTTCCGGTTTTGTTTTGTTTAATAAATCATTAGCTCATCCATGAACATGATTTCTGCCCGAGTCCCGTCGGATTGCATCAGCTGCGGGGATGAAGACGACAAATCCCATGATTCCACACTCAGACACAGCGTCATTAAACTACGCCTTTGTCTATTTGTTTGTTTTGAATATGTGCCCTCTAGCGGCGAAAATTACATATTGTGGCTTTAAAGGGGTCATATGATGCTGCTAAAAAGAACATAATTTTGTGACGTGAGGGGAAGCCCCGGCTTAGCGTGCGCTGAGGCCGGGATAGAGTGAGCTGAAGCCGGGCTAGCGTGAGCGGAAGCCTCGGCTTAGCGTGAGAACGGCGTGCCCGGAGGATCCGACAAATGAGCGGCAACCACATGTGATGGACCCCGGGCTGGATTCCGCTTCGTCCACGGTGAAAGTTGATGTATTCCCTCAGCAACCAGCACAGATCAGTACGTCAGATCGAATCGAAGACACATCGAATAAAAAAAACCTGCTGTAATATCACTGCTAGATCTGATGTTTGCTTCATGTTCTGTCTGGTTAGTGTTTTTGAGTATTGTTAAAGCACTGCTCATCTCCACAGATGTATAAAGGCCTTCTACCATCAAATACCAATATTCTGATCGAATCTTTGAAATGACCAGCTTATTAAATCATTTGATAGATAAATAGACATATATATGGTGAGATGTTATCAATAATAATGCTGCAGTTGGTGTGTGTTTTTTTTTCTAGATTGAGTTGTGATTGTGTCAGCTAGCAGTTAGCACGTGAAGCTAAGTTTACTGTTGAACAGCATTTAATGTTCTACGGCGGTAAAGTTAGTTTGACATTCATTAGACATTCGGGTCTTTTGCCAATTAAACTCTTTGCAGCTTTTATGTTTTGAGCCCAAACTAACTCCGATAGACATCAATATATGCCCTTTATGTTGCACAAGGCTTAAGTTCTAGGAATTAAAAAAAAAAAAATTACCATTTAAATGAATTAAACAATTTAACTACGTGACATTATAATATAAAACCAATACTAAAATGTTCGGGAAAACATACCTGTTATTGCACAAAGCTCCGTTTTTGGAAT